TATTCCTTAGTCTTCACAATGCGGTTTGCTTGCTTACCGCAAACTTATAGGGCCTTCACCTAATGACTGTATCTTTATGGACAATAGTTACACACAAGTGTCCTCTATTCACAAATTCAGTGACTTTTGAAAGGAACAGGTTGCTATAGATTTTAATTGGGCGTCAACACAAGTCCAGTAAGGGGGAGTGCAACACAAATGCATATAAATTTAACAAACTTGTTATTCCTGAAAAATAGCAATTAAATCTAATTAAGCAATGCTTCCATTGCTTAATTATGACCTACTTTGTGCTAATCATAATATAACATTTGTATTAAGCAAACTGAAGTTTATGGTTCCAACATGACAAAATGTTGAATAGGTTTGAATACTTTTGCAAGGCATTATTGCCATTTATTAACTAATCGTGGAAAATAACCTTTGGCAAAACCCGGCGCTCAGATAAACATGTCACTTCTCCTCATTAGATGCCATCACAACTGGCCAACAAAAACAGAATTAACTTCTCTGAAGCCGCATATCAACGATTGCTGTGTTCACAGTGACTGGATAAATAGCAACACCACACAGCTGCAGTTTTCGTCAGCGTCTTACGATTCTATCAGTGGACAGTGCACCCTAAAGGCTTAGGACAAGTGGGATTAATGAACAAGTGTGTGGTGTTGACACCTCCAGAGACAAGCATGTGGAGGACAAGAATGCCTTGCAGGAGGGAAAAAAAGGATTTTTGATTTGTTTTTGTGCTGCCAGTTGTAACTTTACAAACAACAAAAAAACAAACAAAAGAAAATCAGAAGCTAACACTTATTATTAAAGTACATATAAATTAGAAGACAAAAAACTCAAGAAAAGCAGAGTACGGGAAAGTCGACTAATATAAAGTGCATCATAGAGAGAAAGTAATTTATACTCAAATATAAAAGCATGAACTGTTTTTGGTTTTCATCAAGCATCGTGAGGATCAAAAACCCCCTTAGATGGAAAGCAGGGGGGCCAGAGGGTGATAAAAAGTTCATGGATAAAAGCCTTAAGGAACTATTAACCCTTTGACTGAACACCTTTAGAGAGTTTTCCCATGTTTGGCAAGAAAAGCATTTAATATTTTACAACTGATTTGCAGTATCAAAGATATGCATTTTGAGTACAAAAGAAACTTCTATTTTGCCTTTTGATATGCCTCGGTTGTGAAAGGTTTATAATGCTCTTTTCATCATCCTGTAACAGAACCAAATTCTGGTCAAACACCTCTGTGATTTGGGAACCCATTCCATTTGATTTTATGGATCAATGAATTTCTGGCGCATTAAATGGAATGGCTGTCTATGTAATGAAACGGTTTTAAACACAGGTGTCCCCCAGGGCCATGTCATTTCCTCTTTTTTATTGTCTATTTATACCAATGAGATTATGAGGAACAATAATGGCCTCGTTTTGATTAAGCGTTCTGACAACACGACCCAGGGGGCCTGTCTCGTTCTCTGTAAGTCACAACAAAAAAAAAAGAAGAGACAACATTACAGAACTGACAGATCCGTTTGACTAATTCCACCTCAAAAGAAAGAACAGAAAAAAGAGGAGAGGAGCCAGCCTCATCAATGCCTGGCACCTCTTAAAGCAAGTTTCCAACAGCAGGGCAGTAAAGATGATCAGACTCTTTCTATATAGGAACATTATTTACAGGGACGCACAGAAGAAGCTCCAGGGATGTGTAGTCAATAAAGATGCTCATTAATGTCCTCGCCTCGAACACTCCGTCCTGGTTTGATCAGCTGTCTGTGAGGCGGTCGCAAAAATGGTCAATCAGGAGCCCAAAATCATTTGGCTGCCAATAAACTCCCCGGTCATCATCAACTGGCTTGCACACTAAGACGCCTGCCTTTAAGGGGAGGATGGCTTTGCATCCGCTGAAGTAGCTTAATATGTGCTGCAACAGCTGTTTAGCACTTATGTGAGAATAATAACAAACAAACAAAAAAAAAGCAACCTTTGTTATGCATTACAACCAAAAATGTTTACAGGTTTTGATAGGGTTCTATATGACATGCCAACACTAAGAAATCTGTGATGCAGATAAAAAAAAAGAAAAAAAAAACTTACTTTCCAAGATTTTTTTGATAGTAAAAATCTAAACGTGTGATGTCTATTTGTATTCTCCCCACCCTTTTTAATATCTCACTACAATTGCAATTGCGAATGTTGGTGTATAACACCACAATTTATGTATATGTGGAGACAAAAAAATTTGCCAATTTTTCTGCAATAATAGCTGAAGCTCAGTGGGATTGGATGCAGAGAATGTTCATAGAAATGTTCAATTGGTTTTATATCTAGAATTTGACTGGGGAAATTCAACACAAATGCTATGATGTGGCTCTCTTTGTTTTCCTGCTGGAATGTTAACCTCCGGCTCAGCCTCAAGTCATTTGCGACTTTGAACATATTCGCTTCCAGGACTGCCCTGGATTTAGCTGATAATTGTTCCCATTTGTTTTTGACCACACAAATCTTTTTTTTTTTTTGCATCCCTGTGTGGCATAAAAAGTTCTTCTCCATGACTTGAATGACACTTCTTGAATAATTCAGCCATCAGACCACTTTTACATTAAAGCCAGATTCGTGGAGTGCAGGCTAAAAGTTGTGCCTTTAAATTATTTCACATGAGCAGTGGATCTCTGCAGCTCCTCCAGAGTAAGCCTGAGCTATTGCCTTCTTCTCGGTGCATTCCTTGCATGGCCTACACAAAGCAATTTAATTTACACTGAGATTAAATGATACAGAGATTGAATATATTATCTATATCTCTATATATATCTCTGAAGACCTCACTTGTTGTTGTAGGTTGGTAATATCGTTTTTCCTAATTTGTGCAATTAAAATTTTCGCCCAAACTAAAACAGCATCATTACAAATCATATTTTTTTTATCACCTTCCCCATTCATATGCAGGACAGATTTAAGCAACAAGACACATGCACTACCAATCAATACAACACACAGTTAAGGAGCATGAATTTAAAAGGGAATTTGTGGGTTATATGTTTTATTCCCCTGGTTGAGCCCAATCAATGTTATCTCTCTTAAAGTCAGAGTCCAGGGGGCTATGACTTCAGGCTTTGATGTCTTAGACAATCCCAGAAATCAAATGATAGTTGGAAGACTGACTCATGGACAGGTTCAGGGTTTTTATACGATGAGATTCTTTATCAAATCTGAACTCAGAAGATCCCCTGCTGGCACTTTTCACCATCACCCTCAACATCTCTCTCATTTTTCTTCCTGTGGGATTTGACATATTGGCCAAATCGCAGGCAATGTCTTGAAGTGAAAATTTGATAGAACTACCCTAGACCGCAGGACTGAAGTAATTTTCCTTCAAATGTCCCTTTAAGATTGAATTTATTATCAGTCATTTACATCTAATATAGCCTGAGCTCTAACATCCAGTCGTAAAACCCCATAAATTTAAGCTCTGCCGTTTCACTTGTACTTTCAGGACCACAGACTGGAGTCCAGATTGTATAAATCTAAAATGTTGACTGGCTGCAGTGACAAGCTCATCAAAGATCCAGTGAACGCTGTTGTGCAGGAAAAAGAAAAAAAGTGGGGGTGGGGGTCATCAATGTGAAGAGATCTGAAAACTAACCTCATATTTCACTATTAATGACATATGAGGTTGTATGACTTCAAAAATGCTTTGACTTAGCAAAAGTCTGAGAACATAATAATATGCGCCATATAACAGAAAATGGAACAGATAAGAAAAGCAATTAAAGATTGAATTATAAAAAGAAATTGATCTGGCTGTTTTTAAAAAAAAACAGGAATATTAGCTCTTTCACTGGGGATGTGGAAATGATTAAATGTGGAATGAAATGATTGTTTCTGACACAGAGTGTTTTGCCGACGAGACTGAGGTGTTCTAAGTTACCTGAAGAAAGAAAAAAAAGATGTAGAGCAGCAGCTTTAGTCCATGGCTCTTTGTAGTTTGGAGATCTTTGCTCCTGATAAATCCTGCTGCTTGCAAACATCTTTGCATGCTGCATATTTAAAGCATGAGATAAAATCACCTTGGCTTTGTCTGTGTGTTGCTGGAGCGTGTGTACCCACAACATGTGTTCCAGAATGTAGTGAAAATGTGTGTTTGCGCGCATGCGTGTGTGTGCGTGTGTTTGTTTGCAAGAGGGTGTGGGGGTTAATGTGGAGGGATACAGCAATGTCTTGGCATGCATTTCAGCTGTCTGGTGGTGTTATATCGGGATTTATCAAGACAGCAAACGTTCAGAGCAACAACATTCATCAACTAAGCAAGAGTTTACTGTCAATAATAAAACTGTGTTTAATTTGCTAAAAGGTCAGACGCTGTTTCATCAGCGTCACATTAGGGGCCCAGGTTGGACACAGTTATTCTAATTGTAGCTCTTACACCTCTCCAGGAGACATTACTTGATTATTTCATAAATAATTAATGTGTTGTGATTGCTGCCAAAATACCTGCACCCTCCCACAGCTCTGTGCCTCGTCAAATTTACTTGCCAGGACGGATATTAATTTAAAGTTCAAGTGACAAACAGTTGAATAAATTATTCTTCTTTGGATAAATCTTTAAAAAAAAAAGGCAGAAAGAGATAAAGAGGAGGGTTGAAAGCATTCAAAACACCCAGCGGGCATCTACGATAAACAACAAAAATGAGTATTAATTATATATATATATATATATATATATATATATATATATATATATATATATATATATATATATATATATATATATATATATATATATATATATATATATAAAATATATAATTAATATAATATATATAATTTGTTGTGTGCGTGTTTGTCGGGGTTAAATATGCGCGCTGAGAAAAACGTGCGTAAAAATGTGGTTTTCTAAAAACATCTAGTTTTAAGATGCAATAGCATGTAGGCAAGTGAAGGGCATTTTAAACCCTCACGATCTTAAGTTGAGTGTTGGTTTTCAAACTGAAACTCACGCTGCTGTTCTGCCCGGACCAGTGCACCATCGCCTGGTTGTGCGTCGAGTCCCCCGACAGAGCAAAAGTGGAGGTGTCCAGGTGAGGCTCGCTCTGCTTCGGGTTTGAGCCCCTGCTTTCCTCCCCTGTGCGCCGGGACTCGCTTCTGAAGTTGGAAGCACCATGGACAGTTCTCACGGACCTCCGCGCCTCCCCAGTGATACTCCTGTCCACATTTCCGCTGTAGGACACGCCGACACTTCTTTTCTTCCTCTCCCCGACTGAAAATGTGGCTTCGGGCGTTTCAATCTCTGCCGTCGAAATGTTGTCACACTTTTTGTCGGGTATTTTGAGATTTTTGGAATTGTTTCCCGTTGAGCCATTCGTAAGCAGGGTTTCATTTTTCACCTCCTGTTTATATTTTGGTCTCGCGGGTCCGTCAGTTTCAGACCTGTGCAAAACTTCGTTGCGGTCATTGACTTTCAGCGAGACTTTGATTCCCGCTGATTTTCTTATCGTATGTCCCGTCGGCGACGTTACCTCCATGGGATGAAATCTTTTTTCCAGTCTCGGGAAACTTATCTCCGCCCGAGCCGCCAACTTGATGTGAATGGGGAATAGCTGAATGAAAGCCAAAAGAAAGCAACTCCAAAATGACCAAAGTGTCATTGTGGTCTCCAATTCGGGCAGCCCTCCTTTGCAGAGCAGATAATAGTGCGGCAAAGCTGTTCGATTTCTCAAATATTCAGAGAATCATGTCTGCAAGTTAAAAAAAAATCAAAAAAAAAAAATCCATTCAGCAGAACCACTCACGTCCAAGAATTTGTCAAAGTGAGGGACCAGTTGGGGCGGCGCTGCGCATCAGGCAAGCGCGCCAGAAGAGAGTATCTGCAAGAACGGGTAGTATAAGAGCTCATGAGGACGTCTGAAAACAAAAAAAAAAAAAGAGGAGGGAGATTTTAAAGCCTTTCAAATCATTTTGAAATCATTCCACGATCTAGGCTTTCATTCAGCAACATCTCTGGCTGTCTGTTTATGAAAACCTGTGGAAGTTATCCAGAGCAGCGCTTGACAGAGTTAAAACCGTTACCAGAAAGGGGGAAAAAAGTGATTTGCATAACATCGTTCAATCTTAGGCAACATTTTGTCTTTGAAACGACTGTGGAGAGAGAAAAAAAGAGAGAAAGAAACACAATTTGCTGGCATCAATCAGCAACGGATTCACCTGTCAGCCGTGCACGCCCGAGCATATGTGGGAGAGTTCATTTGCGAGAGATTCACTTGGACTGCTGATAAAGATCCAGATTTACTATTATTGTTCCAAGCTGCGATGCTGCTGAGGTGCAGGATTTTCTGTTCTCCTCTTGTCCCTACAAAAGGTTTTTGTTTGCGTACTTTTTCTTTTTTTCTTTTAGTGGCCTTAAAAATACTGCAGGCCTTCTCCAAGGACATACACATTATTACAAGTTATAGAGGTGCAATCTGATCGACTCACAGAGACAAAGCAGTTTTGAAAAGTTAGACTGTCAGTAATCCGATTGGAGAAGCATAACGTATTCATACACAGCCTGCAAGGAAAACTTAGTGTTTTTCTTGTGTTGACATTAATGATAATCACTTTCAGCAAGTGGAAATCCAAAGTGCTGGTTGTCAAAAATACTAATCTGTATATAAGACCAGTAAAAAACACAAAACAGGAACGTGGTTTTGTGGGTCAGCGATCTCATTTGTCATTCTTAATCATACAATCATGAGAGAGAGACTGCTGACTTTACAGATGTCAAGGATTTACACACTACATGAGTGTAAATCCTCGTGCAATGACCTCATGTAGCAATGACCACATGAGGTCATTGCTACATAAAACTGTTGTGCGCAAACTTGATGTACACAAAACTATTAATAAAAAGTTTAGTGGAAGAAAGATTTGTGGCTCCATTGAAAATTTAGGGTAGATTCACAAGGCCTGAGCTGCAGATGCAGTCATTGCTTCAAGGGCATCGGCAACAGTTTTAGGAACATGCATTATTAGCCAAATCTCTTGCATTCTTCATGATGTAAACAGTGCATTGCTGAGCTAAACAGAAAAAGGACTGGAGCTCATGTGGTTGAAAACACACAAAAGCAGCGAAATCCAATATACAACAGGTTTGATTTAAAAATACACTAGATGACATATTACCAAAATAATGATCAAAATACCAAAATTTCACAAATATATTCTCCTAATGAAGCCTGTTAGAGAGATTCAGCCTAGATTTGACATATTTTCACTTTTTATGTTTGTCTCAATTTACGGTTGTTCATTGAATGGATAAAATTGTGTTTTGTTATATTTTGTAATCTTTTTAAAAGTTTATGGATTTCATTAAGTTTGTTGTAAAATATCTAGTTTCAGTTTGACCTCTCCACATGTTTTGAATCTTTATCTACAGATGATACCAGACCTCAGATTAATTAAAAATAACAGCCTCTGAAGTTAGATAAGAGCAATATTCAACTCATCCATCCATCCATCCAGTTTCTGTTTACCTTTGTCCCTAGTGGGATCGGGAGTTGCTGGTGGCTATCTCCAGCTATGCTCAGGGCGAGACAATATTCAAGTCAAAACACTTTTTTTTGTTTTGTTTTGTGCATTTCTCCTTTGAAAGAAACCTTACAATTATGCCAACATGCTATGCAGTGTATGTTGGACATTAAAACTGAGTTTTAAGCAATGGGGGGCCAGGTTTCCAATGCTCTGTTAATCTCTGCACCATCACATTTTCTATTGTTCATTCACTTTCACTGTCCACATTTGAAAAATTAAGCATCTTTCTAAATCAATAAGCTATTTGAAAGGTATTAGTTTCAATTAGTAGAGCCAAATGAATCCTGGAAGGCATTTTCTATACTTCCTGCTGACAAAACTTTCTCTCTCTCTGTCTCTCTCTCTCTTTCTGTCTCTCGCTCTCTTTCTCTCTTTGCCCCTCTTTCAGCTGTTGCAAAACTGGTAAGCAAGGGACCAAAAAAAAAAAAAAAACCCTTCTTGTAAAAGTTATTACAATGCCTGTTAATGAGGAGCTGGAATGTATGCAAGATAAGTTTGCATCAGCTACCAGACAGTTCCCTAAGGAAGACTCATAAAAGAAGTATTTCCACCTTCCTCAAGGACAACAGAAACATCACTGAACAGGAACATAGAACCATGTTCCAACATGAGGAAAAGGAAAACAATCGAGGACCCAAAGATTCTATTTTATTTCCTTAAAATAAAATTACATGCATGGTAATTAGTGCTAGCTATGAAGAGATGTAAAGGCATTGATCCTTTCTTACTTTAAATTAGATTTTTTTTTTCTGTATATACTTGGCACATATTTTCAAAATTCAGGTTTGGACCTGCGCTTGGTTTGATTCTGTTGAGTAGAATCAGTTCTCAGCACAATAATCATCCGTGAAGCTATTTCAGCGTAGTGGGTAGATACAAAAATATTCACAATCTTTGAAACAAAAAATCAAAAAAACCAGCAGGACTGGCAGCAACATGAGTTTATTAAAAAAAAAAAAAACCTTATGATGTTGAATGGTTTCAGAGACAGCGCAGTGAAAACAGCAATCATAGTGCCAAAGAAGGCAGGCAGGCAGCAGTGCCATCCTCCTTAGAGGCCTCGCTTTTTGGTCGCCGGATTCCGGCTCGGCTGTGCAAACAAATTGAGATTCATACAAGTGAGGGCTCCGGGCAGCAGGTGCTACTGTTGCTATCCGCAGCATTGCCAGGCGGCGAGCTCTCATTCCCGCCAGAACGCCTCTGAAATGAGGGGGTAATTGGACTGATCACACTCTGTTTACCCATTATGCTGTGAAAATGAAGTGGGTTGCTCCCAAACACAGTGTGACAGTCCAGGGATGAAGGAGGAGTCTCCTCCATCAGTGACACATCTTTTAATCTGTGCTAACCTTGGGCTGGCTGCACTGCGCGGCTTCATTGTTTACCTCTTACTTATGTGTGCATATATGGGGCTAGCTCAGAGGGAAAGTCTGAGGAAGAGTTCAGCATTTGTTGTTATCTGAAGACGTATCTGAGGAGGCAGCTTTAATGTGTCTCTATGTAGGAAACTCTGCCCTACATCTTGTGTGCTCCTAAACTAATGCAAAGGAATATTGTATATCTTCCGGAGAGGAGCATCTCTCTGAAGCTGCATAAGACACGGCTATGGTAAAAAAGGAATATGGGAAAAAAAAGGCGAGATGAAAAACAAGCCCTAGAATCTCAGGGCTCAATCAGTTTTATGTGCTCTTCTCCTCAATATTAATCATCAGCAAGATTATCATTTTCACTCATCTCATTTCTTTGGGCACACAGCTAGGACAGCCCTCAGCAAAAGCCGAACATCCATGCTTTTGTTTCCAGCCGGAGACAGAAAGCAAACTTTAAAGCTTTCAGGACAAAATTCCATTTGTGCATTCTCTGTCTGCATCCCTGGCTTGTTAGCTCCAACACTTCAGTGATCCCGGTGGAGCGGACGCACATGCAGCAGCAGGAGCCATAATGGCCATCAACCAGACAGCTCGCACTCATACGCAGGAGATGAACAGCAAGGTGCACTCGCCCCTCGCCTATACCCGAGCCATTAAAAAGAGAGATTTTCTTTTATTGCAGATGGCAAAACACTTATTTTGTACTTCCTTTATCATCCAGATGAAAGGAAGGCATTTTAAAATCACAGTGGGAGGAGTAGTTTAGGACAGTTTGCCACTGCAATAAACCGGCCCTGTCACTGAAAACATAATTTTCTCCCTTTATGAGTTACTACCACACTGATGTCTTTGTTTGTGGTGAACAGACTGCCGCATATCAACGCAATTTACCTAAGCCCCAAAACATATAGTTTATTCACAGCTGCGGTTTTTCTGTGGCTAAAACGTTTTAAATGCACCCAGACAATGCCTGTTTGTGATACTTCATCAGTATTCACTAGTGTAAGGATATCACTTGATGACAGCACCTGTTAAAGTTTGGCCAATGTGTCTATCTGGAACAAGATAGTTTTTTTTTATTTTTTATTTTTTTAGGTTTTGACAGAGAATGGAAATAAAATGCTTCGGTGAGAGTTTGCTAATGCGTTCAATTACACCTAAGTAGAAAGGTGAGATGGTAAAGAAATAGAGGGAGAAACTCTTAATGATATTTGGCTAGATTTCAGAAGAGGACAGAGGAGACGGAAAGTGTGTAGAAGTATGTTCAATGTACAGAAGCTACAGAAAGAAAGGGCTTTCATACTGAGCCTTGGTGTTGAACTGGGAGTGGTTTAGGCACAGTGTTTTTTCCAGAATAGGATTATTATGAGTAAGCATATGAAATAAACAAATAATTCACAGTAAGACTTAATTCAACAACTGTTTACAGTGTGTATGTACTTTTTTTTTCCATTTTATGAAAAGTTCAACTTATGGAGATACAAGTTTTCTAGTTTTTATGGCATAAATAATTGTGTACATTATTGTTCTGCAGATATGTCATATCAGTTCATTATTTATTTCTGTATTCTGTTCTTTGTGCCTTTGGTCAATGTTGATTTTTTTTTTCTTTTTGGTTTGTTGTTTCTTTGTGTCTTAGTTGAGCTTGTTTACGTTCTTCCACAGCTGGCCCTATCACCTAATTACCTCAGCTGCCTCCAAAATCCTTCTTCACTGCTGCTGTTCTCTGACCTGCCCTTCCTGCAATTCCCCTTGAGATTTGTTCATTTCTTCATTAGTAAAGTACTCCATCGTTCTCTGCACTTATCAGAATCTAACATGACAGACCGTGATGAAGACAATTGTATTAAGAATCCTAGA